GGTCGCTATGAGTCGGGTTTGACTCGACGGCACATAACAACAACAACAACAATATGATGAGATTTTAAAACTAACCGATGATTTTTACACAGAATAATTTCTCTCCCGCTCACATCTCTCTTAATGATTCTTACTGTTCTATGTTCTTTCTTTTAAGGGAGACAGGGTAAATGATATAAAAAAGAAAAATGATCTATTTCTGATTTTGAATCCAAAATCATAAAGATTCCATATCATAGATAAACAATTTTGGCAAACTTATAATTATTAATAGCAAGGTTATCTGATCATTGAACGGGTCATACTGCATGTATCAGGCACTCTTTTTTTTTTTTTTTTTTTTAAGTCCTGCTAGTGAGGTGATGGAAGAAAGCCCTGGTGATTTTCTGAAAAATCTGTCACTGATAATACTATGGAGCACAGTTCTACTCTGATACATATAAGATTGCCTTGATTCATAACTGACTTGAAGGCAACTGTTATGTTGTTAAAGTGAGGTTCCCTAGAAGACACTGTTGTATTTAGGTGTATGAGGTCATGGAGGCATATGGCCATTACTGGGATTCCTTAGTTCTTGGAAATCCCTGAACTGGGTGTTCAGATACAGCAGTATTTTTCCTTTGAATGGAGAAATGCTTGTGTCACAAGTTCTTGTAGAAAAGATCTTAAATAGCATCACTCAGTCCCTTCCAAGACAGCATGTAGAGGAAAGCTGAATTGTTCTATAATGTCTACTTTATGTCATTGAGTAGCAAAGAGACTATGGGCCTGAGGTGTTAATGCCCAAAACAGAGCTCCAGCCATGGCCATTTATGCCAAGATGGCAAACATATTCAGGCTTCTAGCTCATTCCCACCATAAAATCTGGAGATATTATAAAGGAAAATATGGATTCCTGAAACTAACAATAATGTCAACAAACTGAGAACCAGTATACATATTAAGCCTGTCTTCCATTGATATATGTGAGGTAGTGGTGGGGGCTGCAGCCTTGTGAAGACAACAATTTTCAGATTGAGTGAGAAACTATATATCTATATATCTATATATATCTATATATATCTATATATATATATATATATATATATGTGAGCTCTGGTAGCATAGTGGCTAAGACACTTGCCTGCTCACCAGAAGGCTGGCGGTTCAAACCCACCAGCCACTCCTTGGAAGGAAGGTTGGGCAATCCTACTTCCGCAGTGATACTGCCTCGGAAACCCAAGGAGGGGTCGCTATGAGTCAAGGCTGACTCGACGGCACATAACAACAACAACAACAACATATATATATATATACACACATATATATAAAGAATAGTGATTATAGATTTATTTTGCTTATACTTCAAGTTGCTTTGCTGTTGTATGCCATTAAGTTCAATCTGCCTCACAGTGAACCTATAGGGCATAGAACTGGAATGTAGGGTTTCCTAGGCTGTAATCTTTACCAGAGCAGATCATCAGGTCTTTTGAGAAAAGGTGAGAGGAGTAAAAGAAAGCAGAGATGTAGGGAATAATCACACTCTTAGGTTCATCTTTGCTTGTCTAGCTATTTACTAAAACATTCTTGTAAACCAGAGGCAATAGAAGACAGTGACCTCCTTGATGTCACGAATTATTTCATAAATGCATACCTTATAAATAACAAATGACTTCAAACCTAGTAGGAACTCAATATATTCATTGATAAACAAATGATCAATTTAATTAAAAGCAGAGAGATCATACGTGGTGAAGGATTATTTAAGAAGGTATTACAAGGTTCTCATGATCTATGCAATTGTGGTGTGGGAGAGGACAGCAATGGAATCAGGGAGGTGGAACCTTTTTTAAGGAACTGCTGATTGGAGCTGGTGGAGGCATCTGACGAGTTTGGGGACTGCTCCCAATTTGAGATGTGCTGGTTCCTGATGTTTTTGAAAGCTTATTCTTCTGGGATAGTTTCATCTTCTGGGAGTCATTAGTTCCTCTGATTTTTATTTTCTTTTTCTGAAATTTTTTTTTTCTAGTTAATGTTTTTCAATATTAGATGAATCACAGTATCATTTCATTACTGTCATCATTTTATTACTAGGTTCTAATTGATTACCCTGTCCTCAAATATGACCCATCTTTGACATTTGCTTTAAGATAATTGCTAGAATATTTTTTGCCAAAATATGAAACGAACAGGCATTCTTTTGTACAATATCTTTCAATTTGTCACCTATTTTTCCAAAATGAATTTTGCTTTTTTTAATTTCTGAAAAATAGGCTACAATATCCTACCCCACCCCCCTTTAATCCTCTGGCATCATTTTCCCCCTAGTCTTCCAGAGCTGTCAATCTTTCAGTTAGCAACAGAGCTCTTAACTGTTGTATCTTCAGGGCTCCGTAAAACCATAGAACCTATTGAATATCGATTTTTCATCCAGTACCAAACACTGAGAGTCTCAAAAACTTGAACTCTGGTAGCTAAAGAAAAAGAAAGAAATGATGTAAAAGAACTGAATGGAAGATATCAAAGACTGGCTTGAGAAGACAAAGTTAAGTATGATAATGAAATGTGAAAAAACTTGAAATTAGAAAAACAAACTAAAGAGTACGCTTGGTTTTTCTCACGTTGAAGAAAACATTAAGCCTCAAGTTGCAATATTGAAGGAAGACTCATTAACAATCTGTAATATGAAGATGACACAACCTCACTTGCTGAAAGCAAAGAGGACTTGAAGCACTTATTGATGGAAATCAAACTACAGCTTTCGGTGTGGATTACAACTCAACATAAAGAAAACAAAAATCCTCACAAGTGGAACACTAAGCATCATCATGATAAATGGAGAAAGTATTGAAGTTGTCCAATCATTTCCTCTTACATGGATCTACAATCAATGCCCATGGATGCAGAAGTCAAGAAATCAAATGGCATGTTTCATTGTGCAAATCTGCTGCAAAAGACCTCTATAAACTGTTAAAAAGCAAAGATATCATTTTCAAGGCTAAGGTGCTTCTGACCCAAGCTGTGTTATTTTCAATTGTCTCATATGCATATGAAAGCTGGAAAATGAATATGGAAGACCAAGAAAGAATTGATACCTTTAAATTATGGTTTTGTTGAAGAACATTAAACATTCCATGCACTGCCAAAGAATGAACAAATCTTTCTTGGAAGAAGTACAGTTAGATTGCTCTTTAGAAGCAAGGATGGTGAAGCTTGGCCTTGACACACTTTACGTTATAAGGAGGAACCAATTCCTGGAGAAGGACATCATGCTTAGTAAAGTCAAGAGTCGATGAAAAAAGGAAGACCTTCAATGAGATGGATTGACACAGTGGCTGCAACAATGAGCTCAAGTAATGACTGTGAAAATGATGCAGGAATGGACAGTGTTTTGTTCTATGGGATATAGGGTTCTTATGGGTTGGAACAGACTCAACAACATTTAACAGCAACAACAAACAGGCACTGGGATAAATAATACACATACATTATTTTTTTAAATTTGAAATGAACTCTATGAGATAGTCTTTCTCCATATTTAAAGAGGAGCATTTAAGCTATATTCCCAATACAGTGCAACAAATGATTCCTGGAACCAGGATTCCAACTCTTTGCAGAGTCCTTGATACTGATGACTATGTGAAATACTTTCCTGCCTTCTATTTTCTTCAAATTGTTTAATATGTAACACATACCTATATTCTTTTCAAGCCCATATTTATTTCATTTCTTTAATGACTTTTTAAAAGATTTTCTATTTAAATTGAGGATAAGGACATTGTTTATGTTCTATCATACCTTGCCCAACCATGTATGTAAAACAACAGAAATCTACATGATTGTGTCTCTGATTCCCACCTGGATTTCAGATGTCTGCTTCATCCTATGGTTTGTTCTCAGTAGAAACTGGAAGAATTGAAGCTTATTTCCTCTCTCACACTTAATATTGTGACATTTTCCTTTCCCTACTATATACATCTTTTCTGTATTGTTTTATAGATCAGATTGTGTTTTTCTTATTCATAGTTTTATTCTCAGAACACATATTAAGTAACTGGCATATAAATGAGAAAGACATTGTGAAAGAAATAAGAAATAAGATGTTGGACAGCAATTATTTGTTTGATCTTCCCAAACTCTTTTTAGTAAACAGATTTATGCTTTTTCTTTCTTTTTTTTTTTTTTTTACATTTGTGAATGACTAGTTTAGATCACCTTACTTTACAACTGTCATACAAATTCATATCTCTCAGTTATTCAATATATATTTTCATGAATAGCTATTATTTGATCCCATCATGGTTCTAACCTTACTGTGTTTGTTCTCTAGGAATGAACTGTCAATTCATTTCTTATTTGCACTGTCACAACCTGAACACAAACCCCATAAGACAATACTTTATTCCAAGTTAAAATAAAGAGATTATTTTTACAGTTTGGTTGAGAATCAAAGAGATAAAATTGGTAATATATGTAAATTAACGCCTCTCTGTCATTAACCATTGTGGATGAGAATAGATAATCAAAGCTGAAAAATCCATAGCTTCTCAGTGAATGTTTTTCTAAATAACTTGCAGGATGATATTTTGGGAAGGAGACCGGTAGTAGATCACCTAATCCCACTTCCTATTCTGTGAAAACTTCACCCAGCTATCATTAATCTTGAAAGAGTCTTGATTTCAAATTACTTGCTCAAAAATCCAAGTTCCATTCATCAAGTCAAAACTTTAATTTCAGGGGATGGAGGAGAAGAAAACAATTTTCAGGACTTACCTTATGTAGTATAAACAACCCATACACACACGTTTTCTGAAGCTTGCTTGTACAAAGTATCTATCCTGGGAGTTTCCTTTGCTCTTTTGATAATAGTTTTTGGGACTTTTATCTTTTGGTCAAGACCAACTTCAGTTCCAAAAGAAGTTTCATTCACCTCCAGGATTCCTTTGTATTCAATATATCTGATACGGTAACAACTGTCTTTCTGGTGAATTTGTTCTCCAGATTGTGTTGAAAACCTTCACCTGGAACAATTGACTCTCAGTAACCACTGTAGCATGAGACACTGCATTTTCGCCCTTTTCTAGGGACTCATATTCAAATAGCTCTTTTGTACTGAGGACCATCACCTCATTGGGCCCTTTGGGAGAACACTTGGGGCTGGTGGTCTCTGATTCTGTGTAGGATGGACATAGGAGAATATAGGAATACTTTTGAGGAGGAAATGAAGAATTACCATTCCACGAGAGAGCTCAGGCACAATATTAGGTCCCAACAATCTCTATAGATTTAGAGTTGGGGACAGGCAAGAGAGGAAATTTTAGACAAGAAAGGAGAAAATATTCTGAAATGATATATTAGCTAAGGGAGTTATTATGGGAGGAAATAGGTGTAAAAAGTAGGAGACTTTTCTGTAAAGAGAACAATTATTCATGAGTCAAGCATTATAGTGTCTTTAAAGACATTTTACAATAAAATAATGAATTTCTGCTTATGAGTCCCTGGATGGCACAAACAGTTAAGCTCTTACCTAATAACAAAAAAGTGTAGCAGTTCAAACCCACATGGAGACACCTCAGAAAACCAGCTTGGTAATCTGCTTCCAAAAGGTCACAGAATTAAAAAATCTTATGGAATGCAAATCAAAGTCACAATGAGGTACCATTTCACTCCTACTAGGGTGCCAACAACAAGGGTGATTAAGATAAAATAAAAAGTGAAAAAAAAAAAGAAGAAACAAGCAAATTTTGGCCAGGATGTGGCAAAATGGGAACCCTAGTGCCTAAGGTACTTGACTGCTAACCAGAAGGCTGGTAGTTCAAACCCACCAGCCACTCCTCAGAAGGAAGTTTGGGCTATTTACTTCCATAGTGATACTGCCTTGGAAACCCAAGGAGGGATCGCTATGAGTCAGGTTTGTCTCGAAGGCACGTAACAACAACATCCATTGCAGGTGGGAATTCAAAATGCTAAGGGTGTTATGGAAAACAGTGCAGCAGTTCCTTAAAAAACTGAAAGTGAAACTACCATATGACCCAGCAAGTCTAGGTATGTATCCAAATGGTTTGAAAAGAGAGACCCAAAAAGAGATTGTTTCATCACTATTCACAATAGCGAAAATGTGGAAACAACTTAAATGCCCATCAATAGGTGAATAAAACATACAGTGGAATAATAGCCAGTAGGAGAAATGAAGTCTTCATACATGCCACAGTATTGATGGAGCCTGAAGATGTTGTATTAAGTGAAATAAGCCAATCACAAAAGGACAAATATTGCATGACCTCACTTATTATATAAAAAGACAAGAAGAGACACATTTATAGAGACCAAAGTTTATTAGTAGTTACCAGGAGCAGGAGAGAGAAGGAAAAGGGGGATTAACAGTGTCTGGAAAATCGTATTGATTAAGGGTAGGCTTGCACAGCCAATTGCTGTTAATAAGTTGTACACCTTTAAAAAGTTGAATTTGCAAAAGTTGTGTGATAGATGTATTTACAACAATGAAAAAAAAAAAAGGTGTAGGTGCTGAGCTGCCTATGTACAACTGGTACCTCATGGGATTTAGTTCCTTGGTTAGGATGTTTAGGGTCATGGTTTCACACAACATGCCAGTTAATTGGCCTAATAATGTGTAGAGTGTTTCTGTTCCACCTACTAGTTCACTGCATTGTGCCTTGGGTCTTAAAAGTTATCAAATACAACATAACTGACGTTTATACATGAGGAATGAGGAGAATCAGGAATAGGAGGAGGATATGCAATATGTGGTAAATTGTCTCCATGAACAAATGCCTCCTTTGCCATACTAAAAGAACTGAATGGTATCCAGCTACCATCATTGAACATTTTGATCAAAGATGCCATGGAAGAATCCTAGAGCCATGGAAGGTAGAAGAACCCCTAAAACTATTATCCGGAGAACATCTTTAAACTTTAAACCAAAAATATCCCTTGAAGTCATTAAACACCAAACAATACTTTCACTTAATTCCTACTTGTGGTTCTAGTTAAGTTCCCATCCACCTCTACTACAAGGATAGTGGCAACAGAGCCACAGACACTGCCTTATGCTTTATCAATGGTTTCCATCTCTGCAATGAGCATATTCATCCATCCTCTGAACTCCTGTGCACCTCAGTCAAACATTTCCCCAATCCTCTTCTCCTACCATTTCCTTTTAGACATCTATGGTTTTCTTGCAGTGGGTCTTCATTTGTAAAAGATTCATTCAAAGTAAAACCAGTAAAAGAAAATGTGACCCACATTTGTACTGTGGCCGAGTGAAAATTTTTAATATCAAATTTAAAACATATTTTTAATACTATGATTTTACAAGAAAGGAGTTCTCCAGATCTCTTAGAGGTGAGTTTTCATAAAAATATCTCACCTCTGTTACTATAGGAATAACGATGGAGGAAACAGTCTTAAGAGAGCATAGGCATTAAGTGATTAAATGCAAATATTTCAAAAAGAACCACAATACTTGCAATTTTGGTTTGTCATTTTCATTTAACCTTTCTAACATATTGCAAGCTTCAGCCTTTCATCATTTTATCCTCCTTTTGTTTTTCACCTGCCCCCCAAATATGCCCCCTAAAATACATCACTCCCCATTACTAAAACCAAACCAAACTCACTGGCATGGAGTTGATTTGACTCATGGTGACTCCTCCTTGGGTTTCCAAGGTAGCATCTCTATGGAAGTAGATTGCCCAATCTTCCTTCCAAGGAGTGGCTGGTGGGTTTGAATCTCCAGCCTTATGGTTATAGGAAAGGAAATATCCTAATTATCAACTTGTTGGCAGATTAGCCTTCTCATTATTATGGCTACTAAGTCTTAAGGTGGGAAAGACTATGACCAAGACAGGATTCTAGTCACGATTACTTGAGGGTGTGAGGATAGTTGGAATGAGAGTATTTCCTTTATTATCTCTCAACTTTTCATATCTATGAGTTTTAACAAGGCCTTTAAGTCCGGTATATCTTTGAACATATGTATTAAACTGTCCACACAGGCAGCACCTTGAAATTTTTCTTCCATCAAGTCTGCAATCTTAATTAGATCATATTCATCTTGCATTTTTCTATTCAGCTGTAAATCATGGGCCAGTAAAGACTTAATTATGTTAAAACGATAATCATTGATGGCCTCTTGTCCCTTCAGTAGAACAATTCTCTTATATTCATTCACCATCTCTCAATTATGTCTGAGCCTGCAAGAGAAAAGAATGACATACAGTATTACACATTTACACAGAAATTTTAAAAGACTGGCCAAGCCTATGTGAGTGAGTGGCCTAGATCAAGTGTTGTTCATGATGTGAGAGACAAAGAGGGACTATAATAACCAGAGATGTTGCTGTAAAAAGTGAGTTGAGAACTGTTACATTAAGAAATTCTAGGAACTGATTCCCTATTAATGGTGATAGTAGAGTCAGGGGTGGGTTTGATGGAAGGAGGTCTGGAAATAGGCAATTATTACAGTGCTTAGGGTATGGACTGTATAATCTCAAAGTCCCGGGTTATTTTTTCTTTCTTTATTGGGGCGGAAGCCAGCCTATTTCCACATCCACTACATCTGAATTGGTCTGTGTGAAAATGGACTGAAACCTCTCACATCATACAAATGTGTTTCTGCCACAGTACTGTGCTCCCATTCTGAACTACCTACCCTTGTCCTCTTGGCTTTTACTACTCAGTACTCATTAGTGTCCTCTTCCCTGTTGGTTTGGACCTTGTCTTTTGTGTCCTATATACACATAATACCTTCACTTTGCTGGACTCCTACCTTCTCCTTCTTGCAGGTTCACACCATTTTGTCCTGAATTATTTAAAATTTGCCTGATTTTCCTCCTTACTGGCTTACTTTCTCTTATTTTTCATATGTCCAGTCATTTTTTTTCTAAAAGCCATAATTCTATCCTGCTTAAAGGCCTTCAATAGTTCACCATTTTTTTAGGAATTTTTTTTTTTTCTTAATATGGCTTGAAAACCCTTGAATAATATGTCTCTTTTTCACTTCTCTTACTTACCATTGTTAAGCTTTTTCAGATTTTTAGCCTGGCATGAATTTCCTAGCGTTCTTCTGGAAAGCTATATCTAGAGAGGGTGTGGTCTGCATCAATCCAATCAAACTCAATTTGTAATTCTGACAAATTATATGCATATGTAAATATAGCCACATGCCACATAATGCCACATTAGGTAATGTCTGACTGCATATACAACTCTATTCCCATAAGGTTATAAAAGGCTTACATATAACCTGCAATTATGCATCAACCCCCATAAAACCTATTATAATAAAAATTTGAGGTACATACAATGGTTCTTAATAACAAACAGGTGCAACTTTGCAATTCACATCAAAACTTTGTTGTTGTTGTTGTTATGTGTCGAATCATCTCTGACTCATAGAGACCCCTCCTTGGGTTTCCATGGCACTATCTCTATGGAAGTAGACTGCCCAACCTTCCTTCTGAGGAATGGCTGGTGGATTTGAGGCACCAACCTTCTGGTTAGCAGTCAAATGCCTTAGGCACTACACCACCAGAGTTCCTCAAAACTTTATTACTGTATTTTTTATGTTAAAGATGTTTTAGTTTATCAGGATGTGTTTCACTAATGTTTTTTTAACTTTTTTTATGCATAGAAAGGTGCAAACCCTCCATATTCACTGCCATCAAGTCTATTCCAATTCATAGAAACCCCCATTGTGTTTCCAAGGCTGTAAATCTTTACAGAAGCAGACTGCCTTATCTTTCTTGTACAGAACATCAGTTGGATTTGAATCACCGAATTTTTGCTTAGGGGCTGAGTGATTTAACTATTGTGCCACCAGAGCTCCTTTATAAAGCTCCTTTTTTACTATATACTGTATATTAATCAAACATTTGACTAACTGATGTTAGATAGGAATTGTATCTAACTATTCTGACTTACTTATAAATTTAATTTAAAGACAGATTTAGGAATTGAACTCGTTTGTAATTGAGGGACTTCCTGTATATAATATGGTGTCTGCACAACATCTAAATTACATAATGTCCTATTTTACAGAATGTATCATGGATATTAAGTGTCACAAGACAATATTCAGATTGAAAGTCATATGGGAACCTATGTATTTTATGTTTTTGTGTATACTGTTCTAAACTCTGAATATAATATTGCATATGGGAATCACTATTTGTGAGTGAAAAATGTCACTTTTCTAAATATTTACTTTTAGCCTCAAAAGCTTCTTTGAACATACTGACTGAAGAAGAATCATATGAGTATTAACGTTTAGGTTTTGGAATTCAGAAGGCCTGCCTCCTAGAAAATAATAGTTTGGCTATATACTACCACAGATATACTTAGTAAGATCAGAAACTCTCCTACAAGGAGATAAAGTAGAATTTTAAAATAAGAAAATACAAAAGAAAATCTAACAGATGCCAGGATGCAAGTTAAAGTGTCAACAACCAGAAACTATTAGTTGCAAGAAAGAACACTAAAATGAAAAAGGAGAAAATATTTGAAGAAATAGTTGAATAAACTTCTTGAAATTAAAGTAATATGAAGGTCTTCAGAGTGATCAGGCTAATAGGATGCCAAATAAGAAACAAAGGAAAAGTTTACGTCAAGACTCACTGGATGCATAGACCAATGGAATAGACTTGAGAACCCAGAAATAGATCCATCTACCTATATAGTCAGCTGATTTTTGACAAAGGGCTAAAGTCCATTAAATGGGGAAGACAATGTTTGTTTAATAAATGGTGCTGGAAAAACTGGATATCCATTTGTAGGACTGCATGGAGGGATGATCACAGGGAAGCGGTACCTATTGGGAGGAAGTGAGAGAGGAGATGTTGTATTATGCTAATTGTGGTCAATGTCATGAGACAAAGTGTATGTGATCTGCTGTATGGAAAGTGTATTTTCTCTGTAAATTTTCACCCAAATCACAATTAAAATAAAAAAAAAAAAGACTCACTGGAGTGAAACTGAAGAATCTCAAAAGCAAAGCCAAAAGTCCGAAAGATTTCAGAGATAAAAAGTAGATCACTTACAAAGATTGAAGAATCAACTTCATGACAGATATAGTGCACATAGGAGGACAATAAAGTAATTTTTTATAGTACTCATGAAAATGCATATCTGCAATTTTGAAACCTAGGGGCCTTTGAAATCAAATGTTTATTATTTTTTTTTAGAATATGATAATAAAATTTATTGGCAAAATAAAACCTGACCTGAGGTGGCGAGAAGTTATATACAATTTTTTTCAAAATTTTATTTTATCCATGTGTGACTGTTCATATATTTTGTTGCAGAAATATCAGTGCATTTGATTAGAAAGTAATGATCTAGACCCCTTCAGGCCACCTATGTATTGTGTTACATATGGTATATATGTTAAAAAGCTTTCCTAATGTCACCCAAATGTTGAATTCCAAAAAACACATGACTCCAAGAGTTTCAGAAAAGATGCTGCCAAATCTGTATTAATGGAAAAATAATTTTGAAACATGAATTTTCATCAAGCCAAAATGGCATTTAAAGGGGAAAGCCTGAAAATTATTCTCTGTGTATTCAAGGTCTCAGAATATTTGTTAGAAAAAGGCATCCACCAAATCTTTTTGAAGTAATATTCAATAAGAAAATAAACAAAGAAAGCCAAGAAATGCTGCAGGCTAAAAGGTAACTAAAATTGAGCACTAATTGGATTAGTACCAGATTCAGCTTCAATGCCTTAAAAATAAATAAATTCCATACCAAAGAGAAGCAGAACAGAAAGCATATCTGAGTAGGGAGGGAGCAATGAAAATCAGAATCAGAGTTTCATACACAGTGATAAAAGTTTCAAGTCCCAGGAAGATTAAAAAAGTTCTAATTTAATATTTACTTTATGATAATAAATATGTATTATTTGTTCTTACTTTATATTCTTTCATATTGTATTACTATAAATAAATGTTATGTAGTATACTTCTCTCCCCTCCCCCAGTAGTTGTTGTTATTGTTGTTGTTATGTGCTGTCAAGTAGGATCCGACTCATAGAAACCCCTCCTTGGAATTCTGAGGCAGTATCACTATGGAAGTAGATTGTCCAACCTTCCTTACAAGGAGTGGCTAGTGGGTTTGAACCGCCAGCCTTCTGGTTAACAGTCAACTGCCTTAAGCACTATGTTACCAGTGCCCCTTCCCCTAGTGGTTAAATACTTAGAATTGACTCAACAGCACACAACAAGATATATATAATAAGATCTTATCATTGAGTTGATTCTGACTCATAGTGACCCTATAGGATAGAGTAGAACTTCCCTTTAAGGTTTCCAAGTCTGTAATCTTTATGAAAGCAGACTGTTACATCTTTCTGCCATGTAGAGGTTGGTGGGTTTAAACTGACTTTTTGATTAGTAGCTGAACATTTAACCACTGTACCATCAGGGATGTGTGTATATGTGTGTGTGTGTGTGTGTGTGTTTGCATACATAGGAGCTCTGGTAGTGTAATGCCTAAGGCATTTGACTGCTAACCAGAAGGCTGGCAGCTCAAATTCACCAGCCACTTCTCAGAAGGAAGACTGGGCAATCTACTTCCATAGAGGTACTACCTTGGAAACCCAAGGAAGGGTTGGTATGAGTTGGAATCAACTAGATAGAAATGAGTTTGTGTTTTTTTAATATGTATATATGTATACACATTCATATATAAACTTATTTATATTAGAAAATTTTATATCAGAAATTGAGAGAGCTACAAGGAAAAATTGACAAAAATCATGATTATAGTACCAGATCTTAGTTTATCTCAATTATAGAATAAAGAAATCAAAGGAAAAAAACAGCAAGTATTTAGAAAGTTTGACCAATGAAACAAACTTGAATAACAAGCTTTATCTAACATTCATGGAATTCTGAAACCAACATTTAAAACCTTACATTACTGTCAAGCACATGTGAGATGTTTATGTACCAGGGTCTATAGAAATTTTAAAGCATTCAAAAACATAGGCATAGATATAATTTACTCTATTCTTCTCTTCTCTTACTGACAAAGTTTATCTATGACTTTGAAGAAAAGAGGAGGCAGGCAATTCTAAAAGGAGTGAAATAAAGCCTCCAACACCTGATGAAGAATGGATCTAAAATAAGATTTAGACATACTTATGAAGATATGATGCCATGTATTTGAATACTAGTGTTTGTGGAATGTTTCTGCTATGTATGTGTGTGCTTGTTTACTGGTTTTGTAAAATTGGGATAATGCCATGTAGCACAGCTTTATATCCAGAATTTTTTTTTCCAGTTAATTCTATTTTATAATGCTTTTCTTACGTTATTCTCTCATCTTTTACGCAGGTCTCCACCACAGCCACCAACTCTTCTCCTCCCTCTCAGCCCAGAAAGTGATCGCTCTCCCCTAAATACCAACTTGTGCTAATAGAAATCAAAATATTAACTTTAAAATCTTCTATAAGAAAAATGTATTTCTCTTTATTTAGGTCTCAGTTGTGATAGAATAAAAGATGTTCTATATTTACCTAGGTAGCTGAAGAATGAGGAATAAGCTACTACTGTTTTCACTTTTCTGAATAGGGTTGATATCAGCCTTTTCCTCCCCCAAAGATTCCAAAACTAATTTAACTTTATAATCTTAGGGTTACCAGCTAGAAAACAGATATTTCTCTACAGAAATTCTCACAGAACTCACCTCACTTGAAACTTCTTCTGCATTAGTTTCTATCTTGAGACTTTCTTCAGAAATGCAAGAATCACTGCTTGCCAGAGTAGGAAGTAAATCAGTAAGCTCTCCAGAGAATGAACTGCAGGACTTTGTAATCTCATGAACAGCTAATGCAGTGAAGTATTTTGGAAGATAACAAGGAAAAATAGCACTGATGAGGGTCACTTTAAAATTTCACTAGCGCTGGCTATCTTCCAGGAAGGGAGTTGTAGTGTTTTTACGAAATAACTTTAAGACTCCTTCCATCAATCTGCATATCTTTCTATTTCCTTCAACAGGAAAAGTGAACAATCTCTTTCTGTTTCATTACAGCTTAGCTGTTCATAACATTACAAAATCCTGCAAACCAAACCAAAAACCAGACTCACTGCCATTGAGTCAATTCTGACTCACAGCGACTCACATTTTTCAAGGCGGTAAATATTTAGGAAAGTAGATTGCCCCATCTTCCTTCCCCTGAGTGGCTGGTGTTTAAACTTTCAGCCTTCTGGTTAACAGTCAAATAAATGCCTTAGGCACTGCACTACCAGAGCTCTTAAAATATTGCAGTCTGTCTCAAACAGGGGAAAAGATTATCAATCAGGGAATTCTTCCTTTTTGATTGACAGACAGACAGTGGCAAGGAGTTGGGGTGGGGGGAGACTCTATTGCTGCCAGTCATTTGCCTGTACTCTTCTGGATGGAGATAGATCTGCTGTGAAGTTGTATGGTTTTGGTAGAAAATGACACATTCATTCACTTATTAATAGCTGACAAACCTCAGGTATAACAGACTCATAATATCATAAAATGCAAAACCCTTATTATGGGCTTAAAGTGGCTGAAATGTTATTTTTTGGTGCAATTGCTCTTCTACTTGCTCTAGTTCTTCTCCTTAGGACACTACTGGTATCTTACAGACTGATAAGTTAGTCTGTCAACTTGGTGAAGACTCTTCCCTAAAGATTTTCAGTGACAATAAAAACAGTACTTAAGATGATAGGAGGTCACACAGTTTATCAAGATATCTTTTCCCTATTGTAGGCTTTCTCTCTAAGTAATGGGTTCATATCATAACAAAAAAGAAGCCCTGTGATCTATGGAAGAACACTGAGGTTCTACAAGGGATGTGTGTCTGATAAACACTTTTTATCTGTTTGATGGTCCAAATCACCAATTTTTTGGCACTACTTAAGAATAAAAAAAAAGCCAACTTTTTTTTTGTATATCTATTAAAATTCTAGGTGCACAGTATGGATTTGAGAGCACTGTTTGAATATCTTTTATGTGACTCAGTAATTTTTTTGTTTTTTGGAGTACTAACAGAGATTATCATCACACATAAGTTGTTGCTGTTGTTAGTTACCATTGAATTGCCTCCAATTCATGGTGACTCCATATGTAACAGAACCAAGCATTGCCTACTCCCATGCCACCTTCACAATCATTTATACTCGAGTCCATTGTTACAAATCACTGTGTATTTTGAATAGCACTTGACTGCTAACCAGAAGGCTGGTGGTTCAAAGCCACCAGCCACTCCTTGGAAGGAAGATGGGGCAATCTACTTCCATAGTGATCTGCCTCAGAAACCCAAGGAGGGGTAACTATGAGTCAGGTCTGACTCCATGGCACATAACAACAACAACAACTCTGTCACATCAAAATGAACTCCCTGGCACCTAACAACAACAACATCCATAATAGATCCAGGGATAAAGTATAGGTGTAAGTTTGTGGTCTCAGAGCAGAAAATGAAAATTGTTGTCATTGTCAGATGCCATTGAGTCTGCTCTGACTCATAGTGACCCTTTGTACAACAGAACAAAACACTGCCTGGTCCTGCACCATGCTCACAATCTGTGCTATACCTGAGCCCATGGTTGCAGCCACTGTGTCAATCCATTTCATTGAGGGACTTTCTCTTATTTGCTAACCTTCTACCTTGCCAAGCATGATATCCTTCTCCAGGCACTGATTTCTCCTGACAATATGACCAAAGTAGATGAGACAAAGTCTGGCTATTCTTGGTTCTAAGGAGCATTCTTAATCCACTGCTTACAGGACAAATTTTTCAGTCTTTTGGCAGTCCATGGTGTTCCCAGTATTTGACAATACTACAATTCAAAGACATCAATTCTTCTTTTGTCTTTCTTATTCATTGTCCAGCTTTCACATGCATATGAGGTGAGTGAAAATACCATGGGTTGGGTGAGGTGTCCCTTAGTCTTCAAAGCGACATCTTCTCTCTTAAACACTTTGAAGAGATCTTTTGCAGCGAATTTACCCAGTGAAATAAAACCAAAACCAAGCCTACTACCATCCAGTGAATTCCAACTCATAATGATCCCAATAGAGTTTCCAAGTCTGTAAATGTTTACGGAATAATGGAATGGAAGCAGCAGTCAGGACATCAGACGATGTACAGCATTGGGCAAGTCGGCTGCAAAAGACCTCTTTCAAGATGTCTCCTTGAGGCCTAGGGTGCACCTGACACAAGCCATGATATTTTCAATCCCCTCATATGTGTGTAATGAGTGCTGGATAATGAATAAGGAAGACCGAAGAAAAATTGATGCTTTTGAGTTGTGGTGCTGGCGAAGAATGCTGGAAGTATCAGGGACTGCAAAAGGAACTAACAAATCTGTCCTGGAAGAGGTGCAGCCAGAATGCTCCTTGGAAGTGAGAATGGCTAGACTTCGTCTCACCTACTTTGGTCATGTATTCAGACCCTTCAGACCCATTCGAGAAGGATGTCATGCTTGGTAAGGTGGAGGATTGATGAAAGAGGGGAAGGCCCTCAACGAGATGGTTTGACACAGTGGTTGCAGCTATGTGCTCAAGTATACCAAGGATCATAGAGCTGGTGCAGGATTGGGCGGTGTTTTGTTCTACTGTGCATAGGCTTGCTATGAGTACAAGACGACTCGATGGCACCTAACAACAGCAACAAATCATTACAGAAACAGACGGTCTTATCTTTCTCCTGCAGAGCAGCTGGTGTGTTCAAGTCACTGATCTTTTGGTTAGCAGCCCAATGCCTTAAGCACAACACCACTAGAATTCTTTGCCCAGTGCAATATGATGGCTGATTGGTATATTTATTTATTTATTGTGATTTGGGTGGGAATTTACAAAGCAGATTTGTTCTATTCTCAATAGTTCATACACACTTGGTTTCAAGGCATCAATTACAGTCCCATCAAGCTCTCCTCTCCTCTCCTCCCTGCAACTACCCCTTCCCTGTGTCCTTTTCATCTACTCATTACTGTCTGTCCTGCTTTCCTCCTGTGCAAATGCTGCCCTTCTCATCTCTCACCATCGATTGATCTAAGGGCACATCTCTCTAGGGTAGATAGGTACATGTCCCTGGGGTAGGTATTTTGCTCACAGGCCTTTCCGCTGTTTGGCTGAGAGCTCATCCATGAAAGTGAGTCCAGTTCCAGGTCTGAAGGGTAATCAGGGGCCATAGTCTCCATTAGATGAGTAATTCTGGTCATTTTTGTGTTTTTGAATTTTGGTCCACATTTTTCCTCCCACTCCATCCAGGATCTCAAATTTTGAACTCTTTCTGAATCGTTGCCATTGGTAAAAAAACAAACAAACAAACAAACAAACAAAAAACCTCACTGTCATTAAGTCAGATCTGACTCATAGAGACCTCTCCATGGGTTTCCAAGGCTGTATCACTACAGAAGTAGATTGCCCAATCTTCCTTCCAAGGAGTGGCTGGTGGTTTTGAACTTCCAGCCTTCTGATTAGCAGTTAAATGCCTTAGGCACTATGCCACCAGAGCTCCCATTGCTATTGGTAGGGATGGCTGATTCCTTGACTGCTCCTTCCCTGGTGTTGATTTTGGACCCAAATAAAATGAAATCTTTTTTCCATTTATCATGATTTTGCTTATTGATGCAGTTATGAGGATTTTTGTTTTCTTTATGTTGAGGTGTAATCCATACTGCAGACTGTAGTGTTGATTTTCACCAGTAAAACTTCAAGTCATCTTCACTTTCAGTAAGCAAAGTTGTGTCATCTGCATATCATGAGTTGTTAATGAGTGTTCCTCCAATCTTGATGCTGCATTCTTTTTCATGTAGTCCAGCTCCTTGAATTATTGCTCAGCATACAGATTGAATAAGTATGGTGAAAGGATACAATCCTGACACACACTCTTCCTGATTTTAAACCATGCAGTGCCCCCTTGTTCTGTTTCAAAGACAGCCTAACGGTCTATATACAGGTTCCTTATAAGCACAATCAAGTGTTCTGGAATGCCCATTCTTTGCAATGTAAGCCATAATTTGCTATTATCCACACAATCATAAACCTTTGCATAGTCAATAAAGGACAAGTAAACATCTTTCTAATATTCTTTGCTTTCAGCCAAGATCCATTGGACATCAGCAATGATATCTCTTGTTCTACGTCCTCTTCTGAATCCAGCTTGAATTTCTGGAAGTTTCTTATCAATATACTGCTGCAGCTCTTTTTTAATTATCTTCAGCAAAATTTTACTTACTTATGATATTAATGGTATTGTTCCATAATTTCCACATTCTGCTGGGTAATCTTTCTTTGAATATGAATCTCATTCAGTCAGTTGACCAAGTAGCTATCTTCCAAATTTCTTGGTATAAATGACTAAGTGTCTCCAGTGCTAAATCTGTTTGTGGAAGCACTTCAATGTGTATTCTGTCGATTCCTGGACCCTTGTTTATTATTCCCTCCCCCCCCCCCTTCCAATCCCATTAGTGCAGCTAGGACTTTTTCCTTCAGTACCATTGGTTCTTGATAATATACTACCTCCCAGAATGGTGGAACATTGACAAATTCTTTTTGGTACAGTGACTCTGTGTATTCCTTTCATCTTTTAATGCTTCCAGCATTATTCAACGTTTTGCCAATAGAACCTCTGAATATTGAAATTTGAGGCTTGAATTTTTTCTTCAGTTATTTCAGTTTGAGAAATGTCAAGCATATTCATCATTTTTGGTTTTCTAATTCCATGCTTTTGCACATTTCATTATACTACTTACTTTGTCTTCTTAAGCTGCTCTTTGAAATCATCTACACAGCTCTCTTATTTCATAATTTCTTCCATTCATCATAGCTACTCTATGTTCAAGAACAAGTTTCATAGCCTCTTCTGACATCCATTTTGGTCTTTTCTTACTTTCTTTTCCTAGGAACAAACCTAGGGGCCCAATTTATGGTATAAATAGACTATCAAGCATAACTCTAAATGCACAAACAGCAGAAAATAAACTAGGTGACTGACACTTTCTAAAAATTAAATTTTTAGGTGCTTCAAAAGACCTCAAAAATACTAAAAAGAGAACCTGCAGATTGGGAAAAAAAATATTTGGCTACAACATTTCTGATGAGGGACTTATCTCCAAAAGTTATATAAAATTTCAACACTTCAATATCATTATCAATATGACAAACAATCCAATTCAAAAATGGGTAAAAGTCATGAACAGACACTTCACCACAGAAGGTATACATATAGCCAATAAACCCATGAAGAAATGTTTGTCATCATTACCCATTAGAGAGATGCAAATCAAAACAACAATGAGCTATCATCTCACCCTAGGAGTAATAGCAAAGTTCAACAACAGAGACAACAACAAGTATTGGCAAGGATGTAGAGAACTGGAACTCTCATACACTGCTGGTAGGCCTGTAAAATTGTACAAGTGTGGAAAATGATCTGGTTCTTCTTCAAAAGTTGGAAATAGAAATACCATTTGATTCAGCAATCCTCTACTAGGAATATATCTTAAAGAGGTGAGGTCTTGGACACGAATTTATGTGTGTGCAACCATGTGCATTGAAGTACTATCCATAATAGCAGAGATGGAAACAGCTTAACTGCCCATCAACAAATGAATGGATAACTAAATTATGGCACCTACATGCAATGGAATACTATGCAATATTACAGAATAATGAAGAATCTGTGAACCACCTCATAACATGGATTAATTTGGAGAACACTAACCTGAGTGAAATAAATCAATCACAGAAGGACAAATGTTATATTAGTTCATTATTATAAAAAGTCAAGGAAAAGTTTACGCAGGGAACAAAATTTTCTTTGTTGGCTACCAAGGATGGGAGGGGAGGTAAAATTTCAGACTAGTTAATAGACATGTGTTAATTTCTGTGAAGAGAAAAGCAAATAACAAAAGTGTGTGACCAGCACAATACTACTAAGAAAAAGGAGTGAGGTGCACAACACATACAGACAATAAAGGTAAATACTATTACCTACAAAATACTCTATTATCAGTAACAATAAGCACTAGTTTCCAGGTAGACAGGTAAAAGATTAGATATGGGTAGGCAAATGGGAATATACCCATGTCCATGCATAGGTTTGGGAGATGGTATTCCTACATGTATATTCATATGTGTTATAAAAATGTCCGTATATATTACAGAGATAACAGAGGACAAAATTAGGTAACTTCTTAGCCAAATCCAAGCATCATGAGGGAGTGAGTTGCACAATGCTGTGTTCTTCTTCATATGGTCCATTTTCTTGAATTATTTCCTCAGTATACAGATTGAATATGTATGGTGAAAGGATGCAACTCCAGTGTACAACCTTCCTGATTTTCTGTTTGAAAGACTGCCTCTTGGTCTATGTATGGGTTGTTCATCAGCACAAAGTGTTTTGGAATTCGCATTACTTTCAATGTAGCCATAATTTGTTATTATCCACACAGTTGAATGCTTTTCCAAAGTCAGTAAAACACAGGTAAGCATTTTTCTGGTATTTGTTGCTTACAGTCAAGATCCATTTAACATTAGCAATAATATCCATTTTGTGTCTTTTTCTGAATCTGGCTTGAATTTCTAGCAGTGCCCAACCAATATACTACTGCAATACTTTTTGAATTATCTTCAGCAAAATTTTGCTTGTGTGTCATATATATTTTTTAAATTTTTATTGTGATTTGAGTGAAAGTTTACAGAGTAAACTCACTTTCCATATAGCAGCTCACTTACTTGTATGTCATATGAATGCTATTGTTCAATAATTTCCACATTCTTTTGGATCACCTTTCTTTAGAATGGGCACAGATATGGATCTCTTCCAGTTGGTTGGCCAGAGAGTTGTCTTCCAAATTTCTTGTCATAAATGAATGAGCACTGCATGCATTTGTTAAAGCATCTCAATGGGTATTCCTTCAATTCCTGGAGCCTTGTTTTTTGCCAATTACTTCAGTACAGCTTGGACTTCTTTCTTCAGTACAGTTGGTTCTTGATTGTATGCTATCTCCTGAAGTGGTTGAATAGTCAACTGATTTTTTTTTTTTTGTACAATAACTTTGTGCATTGCTTCCATCTTATTTGGATGTTTCCTGCATCATTCAATACTTTGCCCACAGAAGCCTTCAATACTGAAACTTAAGGCTTGAATATTTTCTCCAGTTCTTTCAGCTTGTGAGGTCCTGAGAGTGTACTCCCTTTTGATTTTTAACTCCAGGTCTTTGTACATTTCATTATGATACTTTTACTTTGCCTTCTCAAGCTTCCCTTTGAAATCTTCTGTTCAGATCTTTTCCTTCATCATTTTTCCATTTGCTTTAGCTATTCTCCATTCAAGAGCAAGTTTCAGAGTCTCTTCTAACATCCATTTCTGTCTTTTCTTCCTTTCCTGTCTTTTTAGTGACCTTCTGCCTTCTTCATGTATGATATCCTTGATGTCATCCTATAACTCATCTAGTCTTCATTCATTAGTGTTCAATAC